CATACATAACTACTACTGCATATTCTAAAATATAAAACAATTGACATGGAATTTAAAATGCAAAATCATTTAAATCAATTTTCTGGGAAAAACTTAAAGCATATATACATATATTGAAAACCAAAAGCTCACTCACCTGGATTCCGCGCTACAACTCCCTAGCACACACATCAAGGTGTCATGAACAATCGGCGCCTAGAATAATTATCAAATCATGTCTCAGAAATCTTATCGACAGAATATGTAACTTACATAAAACACATCCCTACGTAATTCAATCTGGAAGATCCGCATCACAGATTCCGATCCCTTACTTCCAAATATCCACATTATGCTTATAGAACAACATCCTAAAGTTTCATTACAATCCAATAGTTGGATCTCCACCAATTACAAATTCAAGTGGCGGTTAACGTTTTATTTTATAAACTTACAAATCCAATTCAGGAAGATTCGTACGTCAGATTCCCGATCCGTAAGTTCCTACATTCCCCAAATATTATGAATTATAACAATTTAAAGTTTGCCCAATTTTGGGCGACCTCCGCCACTTTCGGGGTATTTTCTGGTCAAATCGCAGCAAGATAGTATCGTGTAAGGCACCAATCTCTTCGTCTCATCGAGAACTATGATTTCCGTTTTTTGAATTACTTGATTTCATTGAGTACTGACAAAGTTATGGACATTGAAAGGTTGCCCAGAAATTCTAGCGAATTTCCCTATTTTCCTACGAACAGCCATCTTTCACACCATTTTCTGGCCATCTCTGGCGACCATTTAGACTCCGAGCAAGTATAATCTTGTTCTACACTTCTCTAGTTTCGTTTTGGTATAATATGGATCGAATTTGGTTGACAAACGAGATATGGAGTTCCAAAGATTGGCCAGAAAATCTGCAAAATCTGGCGAAATTTCGTTAAGGTCTACCACTGGAACATTATAGTAATCAACGATCCGACCGTTGGATCAACTGACACACCCCGACCCGAATTGTCCACTAAGGCTCCGAATCGAGATGTGTTGGCCGATACCTGGAAGGTGACGAAGCTATAAAGTGTAATGATGTGGAAAATGTGAATAAATTTAAACCTAAAAGTGCCTAAATACGAGAGTGCGCTGTGAGCGGGAATGAACCCATTTCACACGTGACGTCAGACCATAAATAAAGTACAGTAGAGTGGATTGAAAATCATACCATCAAAGGTAATCTCTAATACCAAGATTTGCCACGAATCCTCGTCGATACGAAAACTCTTCTTCTAGAACCTGGAATGATAAAAACAAGAGTGAGTGGGCTTGAAAATAAAGCTTTAATAAAGACCTTCTAAAAGATATAAACCCTCGCTTATAATACCTGTATAGGGTCCAGGAAATCATACTACATATAAGTATGAAATCAAATGTAAATCAACAGTAAATCCAAGAATATTCCAATCACTACATATCGGCAACAGCATAATAAATCAAGTGCTCATCAATCTATGGTAACCCATGAGTCGGAGTTGCCTAACACAACCTGTACCACTCATAAATCAATCTATGATAACACATGAGTCGAAGTTGCCTAATGCAACCTGTACGACTCATAGGCAACTCCGACATTGTCGTACAGGTTGCAATGATAGGCAACTCCGGCACCATCGTACATGTTGCAATGATAGGCAACTCTGGCACCGTCGTACAAGTTGCAATAATAGGCAACTCCAGCACTATCGTACAATGACACACCCCGACCTCAAACTTCCACTAGGACTCCGAATCGAGCTATGTTGGCCGACACCCAGAAGGTGACGAAGCCATAAAGTGTGATGATGTGGAAAATGTGAATAAATTTAAACCTAAGAGTGCCTAAATACCAAAGTGCGCTGGTGAGCGGGAATGAACCCAGTTCACACATGACGTTAGAGCATAAGTAAGTACGGTAGTGGATAAGGATTCTATCCTCAGAAGTAGCCACCTATCCTGAGATTTACCAAGAATCCTCGTTGATGCGAACTTTCAGCAATTAAAACCTGGAGGGGCGCAAAACAGAAAATGTGAGTGGGCAAAAACAAAGCTTTTCAAAAACCATTTCAATTATCAAAGGTAGTAACCACTCGCCGTAAAACCTGTATAATTTCCCAGAAAATAGAATATATACATAAATCGAAACCATACTCGAAATAGCAAAATCCACATATATGCCATGTCAAATATCTCAACGTCAATAACGAGTAAACCGGGTGAAGTAAATCAATAAAAGTAATATGTCAACCGGATCCACCTATTGTGGCCTATATGGCTGAACCTATAGCTCATTAAGTATGCTTGCACACGAGTCGGAACCACCTATAGTGGTCTGTACGACAGGACTGGGTATAAATAAGTACACTCAAGTGCTACGATCACGTGAAGACTGTGCGAATAATTACGGGTCACCTATAAGTCGGAACCACCTATAGTGGTCTGTACGACAGGACTGTGCACCAAACTTGTATCCTAGGTGAGCGTGCGATGCGAAAAGTGAACATCACGTGAAGGACTGTGCCCTGGCCACAGGCGGGAGCACTAACATCGAGGTGCAGGTTTATGAGCTCTAAATACATCAAAGGTAATCATAACCATACAACTCACATTCACAGTCTATAAACTCACCTAGAACTTACATGAGTGCCCGCAGCGTCAACAATAACATATGCATTTACTTTGACGAAATATGCTAACGGCGTCAGGTAAATTAAACGGAATATGCTGTTATTTAACAGAATATTCCCTAACTCCATTAGGGAATCCGTCGGTGTGCCAGGCACGTGCCTGCTCTTGGGCGGTGCATGGAAACTTAGAAAATTTTTCTTAAAATATGGGAATGTTCGTGGTGTCGAGTAGGCCATGTTGGTATATTCAAATACCCCAATTGAGCAATGTATGAGAAGTTATTACATAGTTTGGTTATGTGCTTAAAATAATGTTAAAATAGTTGTTTCACATATAGGTGAGACGTTTCTTAAGGATGAGCACAGTCAGGCGAGGCTCGGGGGTTATGACCCTGCCACATACCAATGAGTGGGCTTTTGGTTTTTAGTATATATATATGCTTTATGTTTTTCCCCTAAAAGTTGATTTAAATGATTTTATGATTTAAATGTCATGTCAAATAATGTATATCTTAGAATATGCTTTCTAGTAGTTGTGTATAATATTGTTGACGTTGCGGATGCACAGGTAAGTTCCAGGTGAGTATAGGTATTAATGATTATGAGTTGCATTACGATGGTTATACATAGATGCATTTAGAGCTCATTATCCTGCACCCCAGTGTTAGTGCTCCCGCCCGTGGCCAGGGCACAGTCCTTCACGTGATGTTCACCTCCTGCACTGCATGCTCACCTTGGATCCAAGTTTGGTGCACAGTCCTTTCGTACAGACCATTATAGGTGGTTCCGACTTGTAGGTGACCAGCGATTATTCGCACAGTCTTCACGTGATCGTAGCACTTAAGCGTATTTATTTACACCCAATCCTGTCATACATACCACTTTAGGTGGTTCCGACTCGTGTGCACGCATATTTGATGAGCTATAGGTTCAGCCGTACAGGCCATAATAGGTGGACCCGGCTGACATATTACTTTTCATTGATTTACTTCACCTGGTTTACTTAATTCATTATGTTGAGATATTTGGCATGACATACATGTGGATGTGGTTATTTCAAGTATGGTTTCAATATAGATAAGTATTCTATTTTCTGAGAAATTATACAGGTTTTACAGCAATGAGTTATTATTTTTGGAAAGAGAAGTGTTTTTTTTTATAAAAAGAAAAAAAGCTTTATTTTTGCCCACTCACACTTTCTGTTTTACGCCCCTCCAGGTTTTAGGTAGGCGTGCTTGTTGGTGGCTTGCGAGGAGGCTACGGTGGTTCTGACAGACTATAACTAATGTAGGACCATACTTTTGGTATTGTATAATTAGTATATGTCCTGCTGGACTGCAGTTAGGCTACCTATGCTTTGATTATGTGTGTTTACACTTAAATCTCGTCACTCGCACCTATTTATTCATCTAGTGTAAATTAGTTAGCTTGGTTTTTATTTACTCACATTTTTATATCCTTATCACTTCCACAATGCGCACATGGCTACGTCACCCTCACGTGACGGGCATCATGCCTTGATTTAGGTCGGGGTGTGTCAGTTTGGCCGAGATGTGACATTGTGCGTGCACAAGTATTATGCACATGGAGTCCAAATAGCAACGGTATTTTACTTTCAAAAATGTTATTATACTATCTATTTGTATCATCTATAATAAGATAGAATCCACATGTGTTGGTGAATCCTATCTCTATTAGAGAGATGATACAAATAGAGGGTAAGTGCAGCACTACTCTTTTACATTTAGGGGTGAAGGATTTGGCTAAACAGGCAATTGACTAGGCATATATAATAATTCAGTATTGAACTAACCATCAACGGGAGTCAAACTTATGACCTCTCATAAAATGTAGTAAAATTCCACTAGACCATAAGAGTAATAAGTAGTGACCTTCACCCTTTTTTTTATACAACGATATATTTTATACTAAGAGATAGGAAATAAATAAATTTCAGTTCACAAAATTTGAACCTATAACTGAAACCGCGATACTAAATGCAACCATGAGCCTTTTTTAATCAGGGGAATTAAGAAACCCAACAACAGTGTCGACATACAAATCATTTATATAGAACACCTTAGCGGTTGTCACTTAGTACTACGGTCTAATAGTATTCCTCTTCATTGGTACCTGAGAGGTCTTAGGTTCGATTCCACCAAAGACGAATTGAACCACATTATTGTTAGGTCATTGTGAGACTTAACCTACTCTTCCACTTCCTTAATGTAGATAATATTTTTTGTTTAAAAAAAAGAAAAAAAAAAAACCACCACCACTTTAGCGGTTAAGATTTAAATGCTTTGTGTTCAAGACTTTTTTTTTTTTTTTTTGTGGGTAAAGATCTTCAAGACAATTTTGATATGACATTGCACTACATAATTTTCGAATTAAATTATAATGAAAATCCAAATAGAAGAGCGGTAAATTTATTTTAATATAACCTAATACCCCGTCATTTCTCCTCCCTTTTTCGTTACCCCTCCAACCTCATTAATTATTGTTGCTAATGGTCAACCCTCTTGCATTTCTTCCTCAATTGCTTCTATATTTTTCTCAATCGACAACAACAAGCCGTTCAAATCCGTACCACTCAAATTCTGCAACCAGTCAGCTGGGAGGCTCCCGCGCATAGATTGTACCATAATTTCCTTCTCTTGGTTTTCCTTAATTTGTTTTTTCAACTGCTCCTCAGCTTTAAGTATCTGCTGCCTAAGAAAACTCTCTTGATTCAGCATATTTTTGCTTTTGTCCCTCTCCGGCATCTGCTTAAACCTTGTGACAATTCGTCGGGCTACATCTCGGCACGAACCAACATCTGGTTTGGTATCATACTGGCTATAAACGATAGCAGATACATCAATTCCACAAAGAATGCTAAGTTCCCTTACCTTCTTCATCAGCCCATTCTTCCTTTTCTTGAAGGTGACTTTTCTTGAAACATCATCTCTTATGTATGCAAGCTTAATTTTTTTTCTTGTCATGGTGAGCTAGGGATTGTTGAAGGAAGAGACAATGGATTAGATGGTTTTGAGGTTGAGGCGGCCCCTTGTAGTTCATTCCCTGAAATAAGGTATATATAGAGTTGAAATACGTAGTTATAGGGTTTCTTTAAATGTAAAGCCAGATAGATTTGGGTTGGTTGGATATGGATGACTAAGTGATGACATGTGAATTTATTATGCACATTTATGTAGGGATCTGGTGAGTATTAAGGTACATGAATTCAATTGGAATATGTGAGCTCTAATCCTCTGCAACTTTATATATAGTTGGCTTTTTTTTTTTTTTTTTTTTTTTTTTTGGCTTGCAAAGGCTTGTTGATTAAGGGTTCGTTCTGGCAAGTGCTTTAAAATGATTGATTATAGAGAAAATATTTTTGGGTTCCAAAAGCACTTGAAGTGCTTCCAATAAAAAGCACATAACTGGTAATTTTAGCAGGAAGAACTTCAAGTGTTTTTCCAGAATTAACTTGCATTTTTACTAAGATATGGTTCCAAAAGTACTTTATCTAAAATCAGTTTTAGTTGTTTAAAAGCACTTACCAAACTAACTCTAGGAATTTACCTATGCAGCAAAGTTTTGAATTCAAATCCACCTACCCAGTATTGCTTGTATGAAAAAGTTAATTCAGTACTTTTCATATTAATTCATTATCAATGCTTAAATTATGGGTAGATTACATTTTACCCCCTCAGGTTTGTGGTCGATTTCAATTCCTTACAACATCTTTAATAGATTTTAATTTCATACATTTACTTATCATTTTATTTCAATTTCATACATCCGTTAGAAAATCCATTAAGTGATGACGTGATGCTTATGTGGCTGCCAAATTTGTGTCACGTGGCAAAAATAATAATTTTTTATGCATTTAAAATATTATAATAATTTATCTTATTAAAAATATTTATTAAAAAAAATAAAAAATAAAAAACCATCTTCTTCTTCCCCTAACACATCCCATCCCACCCCACCCCACCCCACCCTACCCAAAACCCACCCTCGGGCACCAGATTATGGACTTTCGGATATCCAGAAAGGGGATTCGGACCTCGATGAGGAGGAAATCGAAGATTGGATAGAGGGCAAAGTGCAGGTCCACGATGAAGAGCTGTGGATACATGTTAAGGATCTGACCCTAGGCGAAGCGCTCGATGCCCATGGAGGAAAGGCATCCCTCGACGAACTTGAGGGAGGAGAGGGGGTAGGAATGGATGGGTTTTGGTGGAGGGCCTTTTGGGAATCGACGTTTCTAAGTAGAGGACTTTTTCACGGAAGAGGAGGCCAAGGTCTGCGGAGGTGCTTGGGTGGGTTGGGGTGGGGGATTGCAGGGGAGAGAGAGGTTGGGGGTGGGGGGGTTGCAGGTGGGGTGGGGTGTGCTCAGGGAAGAAGAAGATGTATTTTTTTTAATTTTAATATTTGTAATGGGATAAATTATTATAATATTTTAAATGCATAAAAAATTATTATTTTTACCACATGACACAAATTTATCAGCCACGTCATCACTTAACGAATTTTCTAACGGATGTATGAAATTAAAATAAAATAATAAATAAATGTATGAAATTGAATTGTTTTAAAAATGTTGTAAAGAATGGAAATCGACTATAAACCTGAAGGGGTAAAATATAATTTACCATTAAATTATTATCGTGTCACATCTCGTATTTGATGATCCATAATGTATCATGTAAGTCTCTACACGTTAACGCGTAAGCTTTACAAAATTATTCTACACCAACGACGAATTAATTTTTAATAAAATAATATTTAAACCGTTTAGCATTAAAGAGCTACTCGGAGTAGAAAATTTTATACATTCTCGAAACACCAGCTATTTAAGAACTCCCACAAATTTTCTTAAAAAACATGATTAGAGTTGATTTTTTTTTATTCATTTTAATGTCCAAGTAGGTCCATGTCGTACAGACCATGAGAAGGTTCCAACATGCTAGTCGTATAGATCACTAGAGGTGATTCCGACTTGTAGGTGACCTTAGATTATGTGCACAGATGTTTGATGAGAGAAGCACTAGAGCGTATTCTTACACCATTCTTGTCGTACATACTACTTCAGGTAGTTCCGACTTATGTGCAGAGTAGTGTCGTACATGTCACCGTGGTGACTCCAGTTGGTTTGGATATTGAGCTATGGAATTAACCGTACAGGACCAATTGCAGGGTTTCCGGTTGATTCATTATGTCACCTGTTATATTGATGCATCCATATTCTGTTATTGACATTTATGGCATGGCATATTTTCTGGATTTGATAAAGATTGATGATTTGAGATATATGAGGATTTATATACTATTATGTTATTTTCTGGGAAAATATACAGGTTTTACAGTGAGGGGTTAGAAATGTTTTAAATGAAATGTTTTTGAAAAACTTTGGTTTTACTGACCCACTCAATTTTGTTTTGCGCCCCTCCAGGTTCTAGTTAGCAGCGTTGGTGGCCCACGAGGATTCCCACGGCGTACTGATAGACTACATAAATGTAGGACTCACCTGCGGGTGTTGTAATTTAGTTATGGTCCTACTTGACTGCACCTAGTACTTATGCTCTGAATTTGTGTGTTTCACACTTAAACTTACTCTAGCATGCTAGTTGGATATTATTGCTAGTAGTTGGTTTTTATTCCTTCGTAATTCCTTTATCTTTTGCTTCCGCATCGCACTTTTGGTTACGTCACGCTCATGTGACGGCCAGCACACCTTGATTTTAGGATCGAGGTGTGTCTGTTTGGTATCAGAGCCTAGGTTGCAGTTCTGTATATATTGTTAATGCTCTAATGATCTTTTGGTGTCTTCTGTCAGAACTATGCCGCCTCGTAGGGAATCACGCCGTGCTTCTGAGTCTAATTTCCCTGATATAACTCAATTAGGGGAAGCGATGACCCATGCCTTTCATAATGCAATTTGTCTTCCTCCTCCTTAGAGAACACCCATGGAGACTATGTATAATATGAAATTAGACCGTTTCATAGGTAATAAGGGTCATGAAGGGGCAGAAAAGTGGTTAGACGATATTGAGAAAACTTTCCAGGTGATACAGAGTCAAGGGAATCTTCCTGATAATAGATGGGTAGAGACCACTACTTGGTTTTTAAGACGAGAGCCAGCAGCTTGGTGGGTAAATCAGACTAAGTTTATGTCGCCTGAGATGGCAGCTGACTGGGAAGTATTCAAAGAGAATTTTATGAAAAGATTTGTTCCTTCGGAGTACATTGATTGTAAAAAGCAGGAGTTCACTCAATTGAAGCAGGAGAATATGTCGGCGCATGAGTACTATAGGAAATTTACAGACTTATCTCGTTATGATCCTGATACAGTTGGTAATCAGGCAGAGATGCTTCGCCATTTTAAGCTGGGAACTAAGAGGAAATGGCGGACTTTTGCTAGTGCGCTTCCTTGCACCAATTATCATGAGTTTTCTGAGATTTTGGTTCGGATGGAGGATTATGACAACCTTCCTAGTAACAGTGAGGATGATGAAGATAAGAATGATAATCAGAAGAAAGATGATAGGGGTAAAGGTATCTCCACTCAAAGACCCCGTAAGACGTAGAATTTCAAGAAAAGTGGAGCGAGCTCGAGTTCTTCCAGTGGTGAATTTAGTGTCACATGCCCGAAGAGAGGTGGAAGATTTGCTGGTGGACCCAGGTTTCAGAGACAGAGAGATTTTGGTGGTGCTGGTGGTTCTGGTGCTCCGTTGTGCCGCCGTTGTAACTTCAGACATCATGGAGAGTGTAGGAGAAGTGGTGGTGGTGGTGCTTGCTACACTTGTGGACAGTTGGGACATAGGGCTACTCAGTGTCCCCAGAGTTAGCAGAGGTCTCAGCAGTCTACTATGCCACATCCAGCGCCGATTTAGCAGAACTTTGAGTCAGACAGTTATGGTCAGACGGGTCGTGGTGGTGCTTACCACTACCAGGGTGATACTGTTCCTTATGCTTCCGGACAGTATCAGTATTCCCAAGATCCTTATTCTCAGACTGGGTATTCCCAAGACCTTAGAGGTTATACTTCTTATTCTTCCATGCCAGCTAATGGATCTCAGTGGCATCAGGGAGGTCAGCCCCGACAGGGAGAGGTTACTGCTAGCAGTACAGGACCGCCTAGGCAGTCTAGCCAGTCGGGACAGGGACGTACTTCTCAAGAGCGAGGTAACCAAGGCAACAGAGGTCGTGGTGGACGACAGCAAGCTAAGGGACACGTTAATCACATCACTGCAAGATGCTCAGAATCATCCGGACTTGATTATGGGTACGTTAAATATCCTTGGTCACTTTGCTAGAGTTTTGATTGATTGTGGTGCTACACATTCTGTGATTTCTCATACGTTTGCTCAAATGACTCAACCTCACCCTACACCTCTAGGATTTGATTTAGAGTTTGCTATGCCTAGAGGGGACAAATGTTATGTTGATAGTGTTTATCCAGGGTGTCCAGTGATGGTAGATGGTGTGGTTATGCCAGCTAATCTTATACCGTTAGATATTGTGGATTTTGATGTGATTTTAGGGGCAGATTGGTTGCATTATAATCGTGCCTATATAGATTGTTACGGGAAATCAGTTACTTTTATCGTCCTAGACTACCAAAGGTTACTTTTGTAGGTGAAAGAAGTGGGGTAAGACATGGTGTTATTTCTGCCATGAGAGCAAAGAAGTTGTTATCGAAAGGTTGTCAAGGATACTTAGCACGTGTGGTGTTAAATGATGTTGTTCCTAGCAGTGTGGAGGAAGTTGGAGTAGTCAGGCACTATCCTGATGTATTCCCAGACGATTTGCCTAGATTGCCGCCAGACAGAGATGTGGAGTTTTCGATTGATTTGCTTCCAGGTTCGGATCCTATATCTTTGACTCCATATAGAATGGCTCCAGCTGAATTGAGAGAATTGAAAATTCAGTTACAGGAATTAACTGATAAAGGTTTCATTTAACCTAGTACTTCACCTTGGGGAGCTCCAGTGTTGTTTGTGAGAAAGAAAGATGGAACTTTGAGATTATGTATTGATTACAGGCAATTGAATCAGGTAACGATTAAAAATCGTTATCCATTGCCTCGTATCGATGATTTGTTTGATCAGCTCAAAGGTGCGTGTGTGTTCTCTAAGATTGATTTAAGATCTGGCTATTATCAGTTGAAGATTAAAGAGGATGATGTCATTTGGTGATGCCATTTGGATTGACTAACGCACCTGCAGCTTTCATGAGGCTAATGAATGAGGTATTCCAGCAATATCTTGATAGGTTTGTCATTGTTTTTATCGATGATATTCTGGTATACTCTAAGTCAAAAGCAGATCATATTCGACGTCTTAACTTGGTATTAAAGAAATTGAGGGAGCATCAGTTGTATGCCAAGTTTAGCAAATGTCAGTTTTGGTTGAATGAAGTGGCATTTTTGGGGCATGTAGTATCGGCACAAGGAATTCAAGTAGATCCTCAAAAGATTGCAGCAGTGGAAAATTGGGAACAACCACGAACCGTCACTGAGGTACGAAGTTTTCTTGGTCTAGCAGGTTATTATCGACGGTTTGTTCAAGATTTTTCTATGATTGCTTTGCCACTAACGAAGTTAACCAGGAAGGATGTTAAGTTCGAGTGGGACGAGAATTGTGAGCAAAGTTTCCAGCAGTTGAAATATTGGTACTTCCTGATGATAGCGTTAACTTTGAGATTTACAGTGATGCTTCTTTGAATGGTTTGGGATGTGTTTTGATGCAGCATAATAGAGTGATTGCCTATGCTTCTCGACAGTTGAAGATTCATGAAAGGAATTATCCTACTCACGATCTTGAGTTGGCAGCCATTGTCTTTGCTTTGAAGATTTGGAGGCATTATCTCTATGGTGAGAAGTGTAAGATCTTCACAGATCATAAGAGTCTTCAGTATCTTTTCACTCATCATGATCTTAATCTTCGTCAACGAAGGTGGATGGAGTTACTAAGTGATTATGACTGCACTATTGAGTATCATCCGGGTCGTGCAAATGTGGTAGCTGATGCACTAAGTAGGAAACCTCAAGGTCGACTCAATGCTTTGTATGCTTGTCATGTTCCTCTTCTTGCAGATTTGAGAGCTACTGGAGTAAAGTTAGAGTTAGAAGAACAAAGAGAAGCTTTTCTTGCTAGTTTCCAAGTCAGGCCAGAGTCGATCGTGTACTTGAAGCTCTGATGGGTGATGAGGAGATCCAAGAAATGATTCAATTGAGAAATAAAGGGAAGAAAAAATACCTCCGGATTCGAGAATCAGATGGCATGCTTATGCAGGAGAACAGAATGTATGTGTCGAATAATGAGAAATTAAAGAAGGAAATTTTGGATAAAGCACATTGTTCAGCTTATGCGATGCATCCATGAGGGACTAAGATGTACCATACCATTCGACCATTTTATTATTGGCCGGGTATGAAGAGGGAAATTGCAAAGTATGTAAGTAGGTGTATTGTTTGCCAGCAAGTCAAAGCTGAAAGAAAGAAGCCTTTTGGTCGGATGCAACCACTTCCTGTTCCTCAGTGGAAATGGGAAAATATAACTATGGATTTCGTGTATAAGCTTTTGCGTACACGAAATGGATTTGATGGTGTTTGGGTGATTGTAGATCGGCTTACCAAGTCAGCACACTTCATTCCAGTGAGGGAAAAGTATCCTCTGAATAAATTGGCTAAGTTGTTCATCACGAAGATTGTGAAGTATCATGGAGTTCCAGTGAATATTATTTTTTATCAAGATCCAAGATTTACTTCTAAGTTTTGGGTAGCTTTTCAGGAAGCTCTTGGTACGAAATTGCTTTACAGCACTGCTTATCATCCTCAAACCGATGGACAATCAGAAATGACTATTCAGACATTAGAGGATATGTTGAGATCTTCAGTGTTACAGTTTGGTGATTCTTGGCATGATCGCCTAGACTTGATGGAATTTGCCTACAATAATAGTTTTCATTCGAGCATTGGTATGTCACCATTTGAGGCACTTTATGGTAGAGCTTGTCGTACGCCATTGTGTTGGTCAGAGGTTGGTGAAAGAGTGCTAAAGGGCCCAAAGATTGTGGATGAGACTACTCAAAATGTTCAGGTGATTAAGTCTAACCTGAAAGCGGCCCAGGATCGACAAAAGAGTTTAGCAGATAGACATGCTACTGATCGAGTTTATGATGTGGATAATTTGGTATTCTTGAAATTGTCACCTTGGAGAGGTGTAGTGCGGTTTGGAAAGAAAGGCAAGCTAAGTCCTAGGTACATAGGACCTTATGAGATCACTAAAATGATTGGTGAAGTTGCTTACAGATTAGAGTTGCCTCCGGAATTATCTAAGGTACATAATGTGTTTCATGTCTCGATGCTTCGACATTATGTTTCAGACCCTTCACATGTGATTCCTCCTCAACCTTTAGAGATTAATCCGGATTTGACGTACGATGAGGAACCAGTGACTATCTTGGATTGGAAAGACAAGGTTCTAAGGAATAAGACAGTGAGCTTAGTAAAAGTATTGTGGAGGAACCAGTCAGTGGAAGAAGCTACTTGGGAGACGGAAGATCGAATGAGAGAGATGTATCCGAGGTTGTTTTATGATTATTGATGGATTGTTTGGTTGTATGAATTTCGGGGATGAAATTCTATAAGGAGGGTAGATTGTCACAGCCCGTCCCGAGATTCTATTTTATCGAGGTTATGAAATGATGAAATTGCCCTTGACGGGTACTAAGGTATGTGTGACATATTAATTTGAATATTGCATACATTCCTAAATTTTTGGAAGCAATTGAGTTGGATTAAAAATTTGATTGTATTTTGTGTGGCTAGGGACTTAGATGGACCACCCACACATAAAACCATCCCTCTCTTTTCTCTCCCGTGTCTCACTATCCCGTACCCTCTCTCACTCTCAGTTTCTCTCTCTCCCCTTCCCTGTCGAACTGTATGGACGCCTTCACCCACGACCATCCAAGCACGGATCGAAGGTGCCAAAGGCACCATTGTACTCGTGAGGACCCTACGAACTCATCTATACCCATTTTAGGTAAGAAATCTTTCGATTTCACGTTGAAAACTCGAGGTCCAGTTTGGGTACTATTCATGAACTTTGTAATGGTTGGTTTTTAGGATAATCCAAGTTCATAGTGAGCTTTAGGAGGTTCTCACGAAGCTCGGGGACGTTCGTTGGAAGGTTTTGGACGTCGGGATCATAAGGTTCGAAGGTGGCCGGTTTTGGGTGAAATTTCCCGACGTGATTTCGAAGGTTTTGGAAGTTTTTAAAGGTATAGTCTTCTTCCTCTCGTAATTTTTGAAGTTTTGGTGAAAATTTCATGGAAAATGGTTGAAAATCGAGCGAGAAAAGGGCGATTGCAGGTTTACCTAGTTTCCGGTGCCGGCGAGTTTTTCTGGCGACTGGAGGTAGGGGATGATGAGCATGGGGGGCGCGTGGACCCGTGCCTGTCCCGGTGCGTGGGGGCACGTGACAAGCCCAAAAATTATTATAAAAATACCTCGACGTCCGTGACGTCGAGTAGGTCATTGTGGTATATTCATATACCCAAATTGAGCATCGTATGAGAAGTTATTACGAATTGTCGGTTATGTGCTTTAATTAATTTTTTATAGTTGTTTAACATATAGGTGATACCTATCCCGAGGATGAGCACATCCAGGGACGTCACGGGGGCTACGACCCTTCAACTTACCAGTGAGTGGGCAGTTATTTTATGTTATTACCTATATACTACTGAATTTCCCAGAAATTGAATTTAAATGGAAGTATGTTTTAAAATGCCATGCATGCATATTATGAATTATATGAATTAGTAATTGATGCATATATATGTGAAATGGTGTTGTGGACGCACATGTGAGTTTTATGTTATCTATGGGAATCATTGATGTGAATTGTGTTGAGAGCTCATAATTGCACCCCTGGTGTTAGTGCTTATAGTATTCACCGCACCGCACGCTCACCTTGGATCCAAGTAGATGCATGTCGTACAGACCATGAGAGGGTTCCAACATGCTAGTTGTATCGATCACTAGAGGTGGTTCCGACTGGTAGGTGACCTTAGATTATGTGCATAGATGTTTGATAAAAGAAGCACTAGAGCGTATTCTTACACCATTCTTGTCGTACAGACTACTTCAGGTAGTTCCGACTTATGTGCAGAGTAGTGTCGTACAGGTCACCGTGGTGACTCCAGTTGGTTTGGATATTGAGCTATGGAATTAACCGTACAGGACCAACTACAGGGTCTCCGGTTGATTCATTATGTCACCTGTTCTATTGATGCATTCATATTCTGTTATTGACATTTATGGCATGGCATATTTTCTGGATTTGATAAAGATTGATGATTTGAGATATATGAGGATTTATATACTATTATGTTATTTTCTGGGAAAGTATACAGGTTTTACAGTGAGGGGTTAGAAATGTTTTAAATGAAATATTTTTGAAAAACTTTGGTTTTACTGACCCACTCAATTTTGTTTTGCACCCCTTTAGGTTCTAGTTAGCAGCGTTGGTGGCCCACGAGGATTCCCACGGCGTACTGACAGACTACATAAATGTAGGACTCACCTGTGGGTGTTGTAATTTAGTTATGGTCCTACTTGACTGTACCTAGTACTTATGCTCTAAATTTGTGTGTTTCACACTTAAACTTACTCTAGCATGCTAGTTGGATATTATTGCTAGTAGTTGGTTTTTATTCCTTCGTAATTTCTTTATCTTTTGCTTCCGCATCGTACTTTTGGTTACGTCACGTTCATGTGACGGCCAACACGCCTTGATTCTAGGATCGGGGTGTGTCATTTTAGGAGCTTTTTTTTTTTGTTTTTTTTTTTTTTCAAAAGTGTTCTAATGTCATTGAAAGTCCACATAAGGGGCAATCCATAAGTGCCGACCCTAAACAACAAAATAAAATAAAAACCTGAAGATAGAGCCTTGAGGGCGAGACGTGGCTGGGCGACTAAAAAATAGTGTGGTAAAATGTATCAGAACAAAGATTATAAATAACATCAAATTTAATATTACTAATTTTATATTACACAACATAGCAATTTTGCCTAAAACCGAAGGAAAACTGTATCGAATCAAACCTATATAAGAAATAGTTTAACATAGAAAATTACATGGAAATGCATGAACAATACAAAGCACATGCATACATACATACACACATATATATATATATATATATATTATATATATATATATATATATATATATATATATATATATATATATATAATATATATGTATGTATGTATGTATGTCTATATATGAATAAAGAGTACAAATTCATAGGTGCATGTTCAGAGAAAGATAAATAAAAAATTAGGGCATGCGTTTATAAGCTGGATGACCTCCCGCACCGGCCAGTTCAGAAGGAGAAGCTCCATGTCCATGCGTAGTGTTCGTACCATCAGCCGCATGCTTAGCCTTAATTTCATGTTCATGTGCTGCCTTGTCTCCAGCTCTGGCAATCTCCCCAGCCTTGGCCACATGCAGTGACATTGCTGCTTCAGCTTCTTTAGCCAATCGCACCTCATGAGCTACGTCTGCTCTCGCCTTTGCTATTTCCTTCTCAGCCTAGTAATATAGAATATGAATCCAGCAATATAAAAATGAGTGTTAGGTTGAAATCTGATTATAGTCGTTTGATTACGTACACAAAATGTACGTAGTAAAACACTCTAGGCACATTCACGCACGTTCATAGGTACATTGATGTGCCGATGAATGAATGTACATGTCACTTCGTACTTGTGTGTATTTTTATAATGATAATATTGTACAATGAAAATGACCAAATAGAAAATCTAACACCTGCATATATTCTTTGTGGAGTCGAGACTTATATGATTAAGTCGCTCTATATTTCTTATGGAATTGATCGACAATAATGTAATCTGCAAACATATCAATGCATTACTATTTGTATAAAGTGTTGTAAGTACCCTCTCTTCGGCCCTGGCCTCCTCCTTGACCTTTTTCATGGCGCCTATTTCATTTATCTTGTCCTTCACTGCCTGCATTTTTCCTTCTCCTTTATGAACACCTTACAAAATTAACCAAATGAACTGCACTATAATGCTCCCAATAATCGACAATGAAAAATGTAACATATATATAGGGTTCGTATGACCCAGAAAGAGCACGTACGGTCTGCGGACGTATATGTGACACGTGTCAAACATGCAGACGTTTAGGACAAACTTGTGGGCGATGTTGATGAGGAGTCAATCACTCTAAATTCCCATCCCACAATGCCAATTCAAGATCCGAGTTTTAAGTTGAAGGCTTAATTTGAGAATAAGGTTGGGTTTGATCTTAATTAAGCTAATTTTTCCTCTTGACGAGTGTAAATTTCTATGTATTGTACTACTACTATTTGATGAGTGTCAATTCCGTGTGTACGGGAACGGAAAGGGATCCTCTCCGGATCCCTTCCACTAAATCCACACTATCACCTAATCTGAGCTCTTAAAATTTGATTCAACGGCTAAAGTTATTATAACTTTTAAAGGGCCCCTTGTTTGTAACCGTTGGATCAAATTTCAAGAGCCTGAATTGATTGATTGAGTGAATTTGGTATAAGGGATCCGAAGATGATCCATTTGCTACGGGAACAACGACTGTAGCATAATAATGTATTGACATGTAAAAAAAAAAATTATACAATAACAATGCAGGTGGTGATAATCTCATTCACAATTTGCCCATGTATCTTCATTTTTTTTATAGGAAAACTAATGAAAATGACTTCAAATCTATATATTTTAATAAAAAACCATCCATTAACTTTTATTTAATAGTTAGGACAAAACATAAACTTAAATCAGCCCAATAAAATTGCCCAATTTTTTTTTTATTGAGCTTCCAATTTTACCCCTAACGTCAAATCGTGGCCCGTTTATTTGGTCCGTTTAGAGCAACTCCAGTGTAAGAGCCCTCCCCCCAGGTTATTCGCTATTTAATCCACCCAGTGAACAGTAACTGCACTTAATGAATAGTGCATTCCCCTGGCAATTGCCTTTTGCATCTTCACCCCTGCACTGAATAGCCCTGGCAATTGGCAATAAAATATTTTTTTTTTATTTATAAAATAATACAATAATTTTATTTGTAATTTCGGATAAGATTTTTAATCGTTCTCGTTGCGCCACGTGTCATTATCCGAAAAGGCAATAGCAATAAAATTTTTGTATTTTTGTATTTATAAAATAATTCAAAAGAATTTTATTTGTTATTTCGGATAAGATTTTTAATCGTTCCCGTTGCACCACGTGTCATTATCCGCAAAGACAATTATTGGTGATGGATTTCCGATAAGATTTTTAATCGTTGTGTCAAGGCACGTGTCATTATCTGAAAAGACAATTATTGGTGATGGATTTCTGATAAGATTTTTAACCAATCACGTCGTGCCACGTGTCACAATCCGATTACAATTTTTGAGGATAGATTTCCACCAGATTTTTAACGAATGACGGCATGCCACATGGCATTATCTACAACCTAATCCTTTCTGAATCCTCCATATAATCCACCATCCATCCTCATAAATCTCACACCAATTTTCTCAAGATCTCTATCATTATTCATAGTTTATGCTTCCTTCTTCGCCAAAATCTCTATCATTATTCATAGTTTTTGCTTTTTTCTTCACCAAAATCCCTATCATTATTCATAGTTTCTGCTTCCTTCTCACAATGTCTTCTTCTTCTTCTTCAAAGATGATGTGGGAAATCGATCAAGAAGAGGAAGAATTGTTTAACCAATCAGAAGGAATGTTCAATGTTGGGGATTGGGCCCAAAATGAAATGGAAAAGGATGACGAGTGTAGACGGAGAGATGACAAATCAAGAATGGCAGGAGCCTCACAATCCCGTCGAGTCGTCCAAGTTGTGGCTCATATCTGCAGGCCCAACCGTGCTGTAAACATTGATAGAAACAGGCAACGACGAGGTCAGGAGCTCTTGGACGATTATTTTGTCCGTAACAATGCATTCCCTGATACATACTTCCGACGTCGTTTTAGAATGGAACGACATTTGTTCAACAAAATCATGGGCGTTGTTTGCAACCATGATTCTTACTTTGTGCAAAAGCCGGATGCTTTTGGTGCCATGGGTCTCCTGCCTGAGCAAAAAATTACTATTGCCTTAACAAATAATACAAACAAATAAATATAATGAAAGTAGCTAACAAATAATTATAATGAAAGTAGGTACCAAATAAACAATACAAACAAATAATTATAATGAAAGTAGGCAACAAATAAATAATACAAACAAATAATTATAATGAAAGTAGCTAACAATAATATATATGAAAGTAGGTAACAAATAATACAAACAAATAAATATAATGAAAGTAGCTAACAAATAATTATAATGAAAGTAGATAACAGATAAATAATACAAACAAATAAATATAATGAAAGTAGCTAACGAATAATACAAACAAATAAATAATATATTGTTACCTGATCCGCTAAATTTTCCCCACTTCGAAGATTACCACTAGCTTGTGCCAAGGCGTCTCTCCACGTACTAAACGATTGACTAAGTAATTTCCAACGACTGGACATCGATTCTTTAGTTCTTTGCCCACCCATTTTCTCAAGATAATTGGTATGAATAAGACTCCACATTTCTCGCAACTGCATCTCATTACCTGTAATCGAATCATGAGTAACTTGAACCCAACTAGTACACAACGCAACATCTTCAAGAAGCGTCCAATTCGTACCTGCTTGAGTAGTCATTTTGTTGGAAAAAAAATTGGATTGAAACTTTGAGAGAAAGATAGGAATGTGGTTGAAAGTAGTTAAGAAAATATGAAATTGTGGTGTAGGGTAGAAGATAATGAGAAGGTATTTATAGAAAAGTAAAATCAAAATTTTTTATAATTTTTCATAATTTTTTTTCGGATTTTTAAGAATTTTTTTACATTTTTTTTAATTTTTATTCACCTAATTAATCTCTGCCGTTGGATTTTTAAAAAAATTAAATTCCAACACTCCAGATTGTGCCACGTGTCACAACGGTAACATTTTAGATTTTTAAACTGTTTTTTCTTTTTTTTTTAATTTACAAAGCCTAATAACGTGGACCGTTGATCTTAGATCAAATGGATGAAATTAAATGAGATTTTTAAATGTTTTTTACCGTTGGAAATCCAACGATCCATAAAATAGGACCGTTTCAATCGAACAGACATGGGGAAGCCACGTGGCTTCCCCAACGGTAACTTTTCACAACTGACGTCGCGGGCCCCAGCCCTGTTTTTTTGTCGGAAGACTCGCGCCCACGCGCGCGTGAAACGCAGGTGCCTGACACAGCCCTCGGGCTCTCGAGCTGGCAATCCTCGACGGGCCTGCTCCTCGGGCCTCGCCTGTCGCTCAGGCTTCCCAACACTGGAGGTCATCCCCCCAGCAATTTGCTACTGTTTGGAGGCCTAGCCCCCGAGCAACCTCCCCCGCTGGAGGTGCTCTTAATTCACATGGAGAGAGTAAAAAGGTCTACAAACCTCAGAGTAATTTTTGTAATTTTCTCATTTCATCAACCATCATCAGATCCTCTTCTCCATCAAACTCTGAAATTGGCAATGGAAATCCTAATGGATGTCATACGCAAATGCAAATCTCGGTTCCAAAAGAAGCTACGATATCATAGGACCCAGACGACACGCTTGCCGAATCTACCTTCCGTCGAAGAAATCTAGCGAGTTGGATCATCGCCACCGTACTTGAGGTGCAAGCAGTGCAAACATCACAAAGTACATCCTTCATCATCTGTATTTGTCCGTCGTCTTGGATCATCACCGGTGTACTTCACGATCCCATGCCATCTAAATATCATTTATATAGCACCGTGACGGAGCCAATATCGACTGTCGGGCTAACGGAAGTTGATTCTCAAAGGACATTAGTGTTGGAAGGTTTGCCCTATCAAATTCTGATTCTTTTTTTTGTTCCTAATTTTCTGGTTGTGAAATTTTTTGTTTCTGGGTATTTGAAGTTTTTGGTTTTTAAATTAATTTGCAAAATTAGGGTTTCAAGTGTGATATGATGAGGAATTTCTTAGTCTGTGTTTCTGATTTAACCGTGACCAACAACCCTTAACCATCTCTGATCACTCTTCCAATTTTATCAATTTCAAAATTTTGTCTAAAATATTTTTAATTTTAATTCTGTTCAAATTTTGTTGTAGATTACGTTCCTGTAATGGGCAACATACAAGATTCCAATTCAAAACATGGCTAGATAACTTTCGAGAGAAATTATGAGAGCAATTAGTTTCTAATTGTTGTTTAATTTTTGTTTTTGGGTTTAATCTTTATTTTTTTACAATTTAATTTTGCAAATTAAAATTTGTGTTGCTGGGTTTTACAAAAGCAATGTGTGCATGCGCAGATGTCTATATTTGGGAGATGTATGCATCTTTCATTGCATATAAAAGTATCCATGGTTGTAATCATGTGTGCTTCTATGTTAAGGGATGATATGAAATGGTAGGATATTTAATTGACAATTTGACATACTGTACGATACAATTTAATTAACATTGTGCTTTTCATGCATCAAGTATATATGATCTGAGTCATGTCTCTCGCGTCTAGTGTTTTGTTTGTAAGATGAGAAGGATAAGAAAATTCAAGAATTTACTGCAAAGCTTTGGAACGAGAAACGGCTGTGCACAACATATCAAGAACAGCTTCGGAACAATAAATTTTCTCTTCAAAGAGACCTGTTTCTGAAACGATACCTCGTGATTGTGGCTTCTTGAGATGTATGTGACCGTACCGACACATCTTTCTTAACAGATATGCATATAACATATATACAGAATCTATAGTGCATGATGGGTATCTGAAAATCTGCATTAGCTTTCTATTGTTTAAAAGGACAAAACGGAATTGGATATCCACACATGTCACACTGATACTGGCCCTTAATTTAATAGATTATACAAGGCTAGTATCGGCCCAGAATGATGTAATTTGTCATTGGACTATCAAATCCCAGATGAATTGGTATGAATGTTGATTACAATAGTCTGAATGTCCATGACAATGAATATGCATGCTGTACTTTTCAACTAACTTGGACGATAAGGAATTATGGTCTCAAATATATATGTAGGACCATGGTTTCTTAGCCATTATGGCGTTTGAAAAATTGTTTCTTATTGGAAGTTGGAGAAATCCCTTGATCTCAGTGGATTGGTTTCTATAACTACTGCATAACTGTCATGTGCAACGATGCTAAGGTTGTAATCTAGTTTGAGAATTGAGATCAGTGAAGGCATATTCTTAAGGGTAAGGCCTTCAAATACATGTATTTGCTTTATTATATTTGCAATTAGTACTATTCCTTCCATGGGAAAATGGTAAAGTATTTGATATTAGAGATTCCATATTTGTCATCTGCAAACTTTGTGAAAGTAGAAAGGTAAGTTCTGATAAGCATGAGTTGCTTACTAGTAAAAGGCCTAAGAAATGAGGATGGACTAAGAGAACGTATCTTCATAGTTTTCCAATTTTTAAGTATGAAGAATGGTATTGATAGTATTGAAAGCACAATATGAGGGAATTGTGGGGCGTGGCATAGTCATCTTTTGGGGTTGATATATATACTTAAGAAACAGGAAAAAAGTAATTTGTTTTCAGAATAGTTCAGTACCCGTGCTTAGTTTTAGAAGTATTGCCTAATTTTTTGTTTGGTTTCACAAATAATGTCTACTTATTGGTCCAATTTCATAAATGGTGTTTACTTATTGTTCAGTTTCATAAATAGTGGCTAATTTTTGGTCCAATTTCACGAATAATGTTTTGTTCTTAGTTCAGTTTCATAAATAGTGTTTCTTTCTTGGTCTAGTTTCATACATAGTTTCCATCTATTGGTTTACTTTTAAAAATAGTGTCTCATTCTTGATTGGATTTCATAAATAATGTTTACTTATTGGTCTTGTTTTATAAATAGTGTCTCCTTATTGGTCCAGTTTCATAAATAGCGTCTAAATCTTGTTCCACTTCCATAAATAGTGGCCTAGTTCTTGATTCAATTTCTTAAATAGTGTCTAGTTCTTGGTCCATTTTCATAAATAGTGGTGTTGTTCTTGGTCCCATTTTCATAAATAGTGCCTAATTTTTTGTCCAATTTCATAAATAGTGTATAACAATTGATACAATTTCATAAACAATGTCTCTTTCTTGGTCTAGTTTCATAAAGAATGTTTCTTTCTTGGTCTAGTTTCCTAAATAGTTTCCACATATTGGTTTAGTTTTAGAAATAGTGTCTCATTCTTGATTTGGCTTCATAAATATTGTCTAATTATAGGTCTAGTTTAAATAGTGTCTCTTTATTTTAAGGAGGATTAGAATAACATACTCTGATAAAAATAATACCTTGTTTGGAACTTATAAATAGTGTCTAATTCTTGGTTCACTTTCATAAGGTTTGAAACTTATACCTTGTTTGGTCCTCTAAAAGCACTCATTGCGCCAAAAACGATGATCAACACTATTTCTAAAACTAAACCAAAATAACCCACACTATTTTAAGAATTAGAGCAAAATAATTAACACTATTTCTAAAACTGAACCAAAATAACCACAATCTTTGGAATGGAACAAAATAAATACTATTTCTAAAAATATAGCAAAATAAATCACACTATTTTTGAAATTGAACTAAAATAACGCATTATATTTTTAGAACTACTATAAAATTACACACTATTTATGAAATAATCGCACAAAAAAATATAATTTGATATAAAATCTCAGCTCAGTCCCTGTAGGTCTTCGAATCTTATGAAGCAAGATCCAAAAGAAACAACAATATGTAATAAATTCAAAATTAACTGTACGAGTACGAGGTTGATGCTATAAAGATGATCGTACCTTTACTTGTAGCTTATATATAGATGTCTCCCCAGTTCCCAATTGCAAATTGCGGTTGTCAAAACCATAATTGATATATTAGGGTTGAAAAAACAAAAATGAGGGGCCAGTTGTAAATAATAAATCACCCATCAGCTCACATGCATCATGCCATACACTATATGCATAATTTACGGCTTTTTACCTTGATACGGATTTTATTGATTGTTGAGCTTTATGAATATATTGTCCAATTTTTTATTTTTTTTAAATAAGGAGGGTCTTTTTATTTAATTCGCACATGGCCTTTAAAATATCAGAGACAATCCTGGGCAGGGGAGACTGAAATGCCTCTGTTAGTTTTTCTCACCCCGAAATGCTATATTATAGTGGCGAAGTTACCAGCTGGTCCTTTTTTTTCTAAAAAAAAAAAGAAAAGAAAAGTAACTTTCTCTTTTTTTTGTTTAAACAACTTTTTAAATGTGCATGCACCAGACAGCTAGCAGCAGTACTATATATATATATTACTAAACCAATTTATGCAGAAGATAGAAACGGTGGGTAAACCTGGCATTCATGTCGTGTTTTCTGTGTTCGTGTCATTTTCGTGTCATACCCGATATCTTAACGGGTCGTGTCGTGTAACACCTGTTAAAATAAACGGGTAAAATGACCCGACCCGAAATTGACCTGATAATATAACAGCTAATATCACCCGACCTGTTACCCGTTAAGGAAAATATATTTTAAACCAATAAATAATCAAATGCAAAACATAATACTAAATAAGTATATACATACCATATTGTCACATCCAAAACATAAAACGCATTTTTCTTTTAAGTATATTTTCACTTACCTAAAGTCTTTAATAGTTTTTTAATTAATGTAGAAGTGTAAAAAAATATAGAAAAATATATAAATGCTCGTAATGACAAACTTTACAACTTTCATGAAGAGCTTAACTTCGAAATTCACCACTATAATTATATAAATCATAGATCAAAATTTAACCGTTGATTATTGTTTACATTTACGCTTCATTGTTCTCATCAAATTTTGCTTTTTCAGATTTTCTTTTTTGAAAACTTGACCTATTAGAGGATGCAGCAAGATGAACAGTTTGGATCGTTGATATTATATTCAGAGTTTTACGATTAGTGAAAATATTGCTTGATGTTTATAAAGTTTCTACAAACTATATGACATCGACTCATATTTCAGTTAACCATAAATATCGAAACGTGATATCAAAGATCTGAACCGTTCATCTTCTTACATCCGCCAGATGATCATGTTTTCAAAAAAGAAAATTTTAAAAATGAAATTCAGTAAGAAGAATAAAGCGTAAATGGCAATCGACGGTTAAATATAAATTTAAGGTTTATGAATTATAGTGTTGGATTTCGAAGCTGACCCCTTCATGAAAGTTGTAAAGTTTGTCACTATGAGTGATTGTATATTTTTTAACATTTTTTACACTTCTACAATAATTTTTATTAATTTTATTAATTTTTCCCTCAAATAAAAAATATTATTCATGAAGGTTTGGAAGATTTTAAAAATCTAAACGATAATATAAGTATAACCATTATCTACTCGTGGAGGAATAATGATGAATCACGAGTGTTTACATATTCTTTCACATTTTTCGTACTTGTATGTATGTATTCTTAGTTCTTGCCTATACAAATATTATAATAAGGAACTCTTATAATAAAAATAAATAATGACTAAAACTTTTTTTTTAAACTTATATAGAATAATAATACAAAACTATATATTTAATATAGAATATATTGTATATATTAATATGGCTATTTTATTTTATAATAAATCTTTTAGTAATTAAACTTTAAAATTATCAAAATAAATTTTTTCTTAACGGGTCGAAACGGGTTACCCACGTGTTACCCGCGTGTATACCCATTAAGAACCCGTTATTAACGGGTTCTTAACGGGTCACCCGATAATGACCCGATAAGTTATCGTGTTGACCTGAAATCCGTTATTTTCGTGTCGTTTTCGTGTCGTGTCAGAAACTGCCGAGTCTAACGGTGGGTCAAATTTACGGTGGGGCAACAATCATTTATCAAAATTCATTGATTCACGACAAAAGTTAAATAATCTCAGTCGGTGAAATCGTGCCAACGTGGGGGCAGGATTGTAATTATGTTGAAGTTTTTAACGGGCTACATTTTCTATTTGTCAGGGGTAATTTTGGAACCTTATTTTTTAACATTTTGGGCTTTGTAATTCAGCCCGTGTAGAATATGAGGATATGTCCTTATGGTTAATTTTAAGATGCTTTTGATTAAATAAAACTATTGACTGGTTTTTTATTAAAATAATCTTAGTCTAATCTCCTTTCATTAAAGGGCCCTTTTTTTATAAGTAAATAGCTTCTTATACAACTAGAATTCATACTCCTTTCTTATATCATGCACCGCCTCCTTCGGTCACTGCCCTTTTGTCCTCGTATCTTTTACTCCTATTACTACTGGTCAATGCTAGTTAATTTTCCCCTTGTACTCTCTCTCTTTCTCTTTTTTTCTTTTTTTTTTTCAATTTTCATTTTTTCATTATTTTTAACATCCTACAATACTGCTTGATTATCGAAGTTGTTTATTTTGTAGAGAAAATTATAGCAATGATCCATCAACTTTAAGCCAATTGGAGCAATGATCCCTTAACTAAAATTAACTCATGACCAATAGTCCCTTAACTCCTCAAAACGTGCAGCTATAGTCCTTTTCGTCAACTCCGTCAGAACTTATGTTAAAACGAGTCATGTTGGAAAAACCGTTGCTCCAATTGGGTTAATGTTGAGAGACCGTTGCTCCGATTGGGTGAAAGTTGTGAGATCACTTCTCCAATTGGGTTAAAGTTGAGAGACCATTTTTAGAGTATTTATCAAATATAGCCAAATATTAGCTCTTAATTTCAAAAATGTTAGTTTTTATACAAACTTTCAAATATATTCAAAATATAACTTAAATATACACAAATGCCCTTAAACTTTAAAACCAAATAAATTAAAAGAAAACCAATACCCTATTAGATTGATATTTTGGAAGGCAAAACCTAAAAAATGGTGAAGAGATAGTGAAGGCATCGGCTACAGTGGAGACTTTGTGCAACCCTAAACATATGAAGTTGAGTGTAGATGGTTAATTTTTTTCATTCTTCCTAGTCTACATTTTCTCTTTGCCTTTGTAATTTCTTCCTTTGGTTGAATTTTATTGAAGAACAAACTGTCAATTTTTGTAAAGACTACGGAATAGAAATTCTTTAGCGCATATTAGAACAATTAGGTTTCTTATGTCAATGGAAGATTGACAACTCTAATAGCATTTGCCAATCAGTTAGAGACGAAGCTAATAGTTCTTCAATACATATTTGAAAAAGTAGGGTTTACGGAATAAAGTTTTTCTTTCTGTGTTTTATTCATCTTATGTTGAATTGGTAAGAAAAACTAATTTATTTATTTTCAATGCGTAAAAGTAATTGGAAGTTAACTTCCAGAATAGCACCTTAATCAACAAGGTCCTTCTTCCATTGCTCGTGTGCATGACGTTTTGTGTATATATTAATGTTGTATATATTAACACCCAGTCTTTCTCATGATTCAATCCAGTTTTCACAACACCCTTTTTATTTTCACACACACACACACACACACATATATATATATATATATATATATATATATATATATATATATATATATATTATATATATATCGATCTTAGCTATGTCTGTATGTTAGTTTAT